AAAAATGTTCCATGCTCATGGAACATTTTTCCATTTCTTTGTGTCTTTCTCAATTTCTTTCATGAGTACTTTATAGTTTTCTGAGTACAGATTCTTTGCCTCTTTGGTTAGGTTTATTCCTAGGTATCTTATGGTTTTGGGTGCAGTTGTAAATGGGATCGACTCCTTAATTTCTCTTTCTTCTGTCTTGTTGTTGGTGTATAGAAATGCAGCTGATTTTTGTGCATTGATTTTATATCCTGACACTTTACTGAATTCCTGTATGAGTTCTAGCAGTTTTGGGGTGGAGTATTTTGGGTTTTCCACATAAAGTACCATATCATCTGTAAAGAGTGAGAGTTTGACTTCTTCTTTGCCAATTCAGATGCCATTTATTTCTTTTTATTATCTGATTGCTGAGGTTGGACTTCTAATACTATGTTGAATAGCAGTGGTGATAGTGGACAGTCCTACCATGTTCCTGACGTTAGGGGGAAAGCTCTCATTTTTTTCTCCATTGAGAATGATATTTGCCGTGGGTTTTTCATAGATGGCTTTGATGATATTGAGGTATGTTCCCTCTGTGCCTATACTGTGAAGGGTTTTGCTCAAGAAAGGATGCTGTACTTTGTCAAGTGCTTTTTTAACATCTATTGAGAGTATCATATGGTTCTTGTTCTTTCTTTTATTAATGTATTGTATCACATTGATTGATTTGCAGATGTTGAACCAACCTTGCAGCCCAGGAATAAATCCCACTTGGTCGTGGTGAATAATCCTTTTTTTTTTTTTAAGATTTTATTTATTTATTTGACAGACAGAGATCACAAGTAGGCAGAGAGGCAGGCAGAGAGAGAGAGAAGGGGAAGCAGGCTCCCCGCTGAGCAGAGAGCCCGATGCGGGGCTCGATCCCAGGACCCTGGGATCATGACCTGAGCCGAAGGCAGAGGCTTTAACCCACTGAGCCACCCAGGCGCCCCTGAATAATCCTTTTAATGTACTGTTAGATCATATTGGCTAATATTTTGGTGTGAATTTTTGCATCCATGTTCATCAAGGATATTGGTCTGTAATTCTCCATTTTTTTCATCTTTTTTAAAAGATTTTGTTTATTTATTTGAAAGAGAGAGAGACATAGTGAGAGAGAGGGAACACAAGCAAGGGGATCTGCAGAGGGAGAGGGAGAAGCAGGCTCCCTGCTGAGCAGGGAGCCCGACATGGGGCTCGATTCCAGGACCCCGGGATTATGACCCAAGCCGAAGGCAGGCGCTTAATGACTGAGCCACCCAGGCGCCCCTAGGGTTAGGTTTTATACTTGAGACCTTTCTTCTTCTTCTTTTTTTTTAAATTTGTATTTTTTTTTCTTTTCAGTGTTCCAGAATTCATTGTATATGCACCACACCCAGTGCTCCATGCAATACATCCCCTCTATAATACCCAACACCAAGCTCACCCAACCTCCCACTGCTCTCCCCTCCAAAACCCTCAGTTTGTTTCTCAGAGTCCACAGTCTCTCATGGTTTGTCTCCCCCTTTCTTGTTTCTTGAGAAAGGCTTATATCACTATATACTTTCCTCTCAGGACCGCCTTTGCTGTCCCAAAGATTTTGAACAGTTGTGTTTTCATTTTCATTTGTTTCCATGAATTTTTTCAATTCTTCTTTAATTTCCTGGTTGACCCATTCATTCTTTAGAAGGATGCTCTTTAGTCTCCATGTATTTGAGTTCTTTCCAACTTTCCTCTTGTGGTTGAGTTCTAGCTTCAGAGCATTGTGGTCTAAAAATATGCAGGGAATGATCCCAATCTTTTGGTACCGGTTGAGACCTGATTTGTGACCAGGATGTGATCTATTCTGGAGAATGTTCCATGTACACTAGAGAAGAATGTGTATTCAGTTGCTTTGGGATGGAATGTTCTAAATATATCTGTGATGTCCATCTGGTCCAGTGTGTCATTTAAAGCCTTTATTTCCTTGTTGATCTTTTGCTTGGATGATCTGTCCATTTCAGTGAGGGGGGTGTTAAAGTTCCCTACTATTATTGTATTATTGTCGATGTGTTTCTTTGATTTTGTTATTAATTGGTTTATATAACTGGTTGCTCCCATATTAAGGGCATAGATATTTAAAATTGTTAGATCTTCTTGTTGGACAGACCCTTTAAGTATGATATAGTGTCCTTCCTCGTGTCTTAGTATGGTCTTTGGCTTAAAATCTAATTTATCTGATATAAGCATTACCACTCCAGCTTTCTTTTGATGCCTGTTAGCATGGTAAATTGTTTTCCACCCCCTCACTCTAAATCTGGAGGTGTCTTTGGGTCTAAAATGAGTTTCTTGTAGACAGTATATTGATGGGTTTTGGTTTTTTATCCATTCTGATACCTGCGTCTTTTGATTGGGGTATTTAGCCCATTTACATTCAGGATAACTATTGAGAGATATGAATTTAGTGCCATTGTATTGCCTGTAAGGTGACTGTTACTGTATATTGTCTTCATTCCTTTCTGGTCTGTGACTTTTAGGCTCTGTCTTTGCTTAGAGGACCCCTTTCAATATTCCCTGTAGGCTGGTTTGGTGTTTGCAAATTCTTTTAGTTTTTGTTTGTCCTGGAAGCTTTTTATCTCTCCTTCTATTTTCAAAGACAGCCTAGCTGTATATGGTATTCTTGGCTGCATATTTTTCTCGTTTATTGCTCTGAATATATCATGCCAGTCCTTTCTGGCCTCCTAGGTCTCTGTGGATAAGTCTGCTGCCAATCTAATATTTCTACCGTTGTATGTTACAGACCTCTTGTCCCGAGCTGCTTTCAGGATTTTCTCTTGTGTATTTTGGTCTGTTAGAAGAAAGTACCTTCCAAAATTTTAAAGAAGGAGAAACTTATATATATATATATGAGTTTATGTAAAAATGATTGAAGGGATGGAATATGACTATAAAGATGAAAATTTAAAAAGATTCTAAAAAAGAAATTGATAAGAAGTTGGTTGGAAAAAGAAAAAGGAAAAGGAAAGACTGTTCTCAGGCTGGAGACTAGAACAAAGCCATGTGCTAGGTTTAGGGTATATTTTGATCTATTAGAAGAAATTGTATCCCAAAATTTTAAAGAAAAAAAAACACCTATATATATACAAATAATAAGGTTAAATACAATGAAGGGATAAAATATGACTATAACAATGAAATTTTAAAATATTTTTAAAGGGTATTGATAAGATAAAATAGTTAAAAGTTAAAATAGCCTTACCTCTGAGGAGACCACGTACCTTCAAGTGACAGAAGTGCTCCACAAACTAAAGCTACAGAGTAGAGGGATATTGAGAGAAGAGAAGCAGCCAGCCTCGGCCCACTCCACCCCAAGCAGCAGCCCCCACTCTTCCCCCTAAGCACAAGTCCAGAGGCTGGTTCACTTCTGGTCCTTCCACAGCCTTACCTGGCCCAAATCCTGGCACCATGGATTCTGCAAGTGGGGACAAGGACAAAAACTTGGTGGATAAATGCAGCCTTTTTGGACCAAGATCCCTCCAGAAGTCTGATTCAGGAGGTTTTGCCATCCAGACTTACAGAGGAGCCCAGAAGCCTTCTCCAATGGAACTGATCCATGTCCAGGCCATCCAAATGGCCAAAGATCCAGCAACCTTCAAGCCACCCAAGATGGACATCCTATTGATGGAAGGGAAGAAACCACTGCCACGGACCCATAATCTCAAACCCTGTGACTTAAATGTGCTCACACCCACTGTCTTCTAGAGCTCTTTGTATTCCAGGGACTCTGGATAGAGGGTATCTTATACCGAACTCCCCTTTTACCTTGGCTTTGACATAGGAGAGGTTTTTTGTTTGTTTGTTTTTTTAAAGATTTTGTTTATTTATTTGACAGAGAGAGATCACAAGTAGGCAGAGGCAGGCAGAGAAGAGGGGAAAGCAGGCTCCCTGCTGAGCAGAGCGCTGGATGCGGGGCTCGATTCCAGGACCCTGGGATCATGACCTGAGCCAAAGGCAGAGGCTTTAACCCACTTTTGCTTTTAAAACCTCTTAAACTGAAGGTAGAGCTGGAGATATACTTGGTTTTTGAGAAATGTTAGTGCAAAACTTGTCCTTGTGTATGTGTGAAAGAAACCATTTTGTATGGTTTAAAGTTAAATAATCCTGGTGGTGACGTATGGGGGACCTCATTAGTCATTTTTGTATCATTTACCTTAGACGAGAACTTTGATGATTGCTTACTAGGTAAATAATATTTCTGTTGTTCCGGAACTGAGGCTTCTTGACTTCTTTACCACTGTAAACATGTGCATGACCTAGCCACGGAGTAGAGGTATGCCCCAACTAGTTGAGACTTTGATCCTCTTGACTGTGCTCCAGGCTTGTCAACTGGGGGGCCTGAGATTTGTTTGGCAGCCAGGGCAGCAGGGTCCCCCCCCCCCACTTCCTGGGCTGAAACCGGAGCGTTCCTGTGTTTGGTAGCCTTCCAGGTCACTTTGTCCTGCAGCCACTTCTTACCAAAGCACTTCTGGCCAGTGCTGTTGGAGGGATGCTTCGCTTTTCTGTGTCTCAGAACAAACACTAGTCTTGCATATCCTATTTTGCACTTTTAAAGATTTTATTTATTTATTTATTTGACAGACAGAGATCACAAGTAGGCAGAGAGGCAGGCAGAGAGAGAGGAAGGGAAGCAGGCTCTCCGCTGAACAGAGAGCCCGATGCAGGGCTGGATCTCAGGACCTGAGCCGAAGGCAAAGGCTTTAGCCCACTGAGCCACCCAGGCGCCCCTCCTATTTTGCACTTTTAAAATGAAATTAATTTACCTCCAATTTGATTGAAAACTTCCTAAGGGAGAAAATTCAGGCTACTGGTTTGGTATAGATAAATGGATGTTAAACTTTTTTCGGGTATGCGCAAGGTGATACCTATGTTTAGATGGTAGTCTTGAGGTTCACGTGAAACTAGTGTCATCCTATTTTGATTTTTTTTTTCTATTTTAATTTTCTTGTTCAGGCCAGGCATAAAACTTTTTTTTTTTTTTTCGGGAAGTGCAAGAATTTTAAATTTTTCTGTATGAAATCATTGCCCCCAAGAAAGAGCTACATACTTTTATAAATAAGTTGCAGAGGAAAAGAACTAAGGAAGCCACTTTATTTCTCCTCACCATGTATGTGTTCAGTCATTGTCTTAAATCCAGTCTCAAATTCCCACTGTTTTTTTTTTTAAGATTTTATTTATTTATTTGACAGACAAAGATCACCAGTAGGCAGAGAGGCAGGCGGGGGCGGGAAGCAGACTCCCTGCTGAGCCGAGAGCCCTATGCTGGGCTGGATCCCAGGACCCTGAGATCATGACCTGAGCCAAAGGCAGAGGCTTAACCCACTGAACCACCCAGGCGCCCCCCCCACCCCCACCCCCAACCCCGCCGTTTTTTGTTTTGGATTCTATCATGTCTACATAAGGAGCTGAGTCGACCTTCCCATAGAGAAGCCCTGGAGTCTAAAATGGTCAGAATAATTAATTTATTTGTGTCTTCTGTTATGCTTGTATCTCTTATTTGTTTTGACAATAAACAAACTTCTTTTTTTTTAAGGTTTTATTTATTTGTTTGACCGACAGAGATCACAAGTAGGCGGAGAGGCAGGCAGAGAGAGAGAGAGGAGGAAGCAGACTCCCCACTGAGCAGAGAGCCGGATGCGGGGCTCCATCCCAGGACCCTGGGATCATGACCTGAGCCGAAGGCAGAGGCTTTAACACACTGAGCCACCCAGGCACCCCAATAAACAAACTTCTTAAACTGCTTTCTCAAAAAAAAAAAAAAAAAAGTTAAAATACAAAAGAGAAAAAATTTTAAAACAGAATAAGAAAAAAAATTTTTTAAAATATAACTTTGAAAGACTAAAGGATCATGGGGGAAAAGCCATGAATGCCATGTGTTGCTTTCCCCTAGCTCTGAAGTTCCTTGGTTCTCATTGATCGGTCAACTCGGTTTGGGCTGGATGTTCTTGCTGATCTTCTGGGGAAGGGCCTGTTGCTGTGATTCTCAGATGTCTTTGCTTGAGGCGGAATTGCACCGCCCTTGCCAGGGGCCAGGCTGAGTAATCTGCTCGGTTTGCTCTTGGATCTTTTGTTCCCTGAGCGCATTCCGTACAGCTTTGGAGGATGGGAATGAAAATGGCGGCCTCCCAATCTCCAGCCCAAAGGAGCCGAGAGCTCAGGCCCCACTCCTCAGTGCGCCCTTGGAGAAAAACGTTCAATCCCTCCCATGTCCCTGGTCTCTGGCCACGCTCCAAGCTCACCCGCCTATGACCAAGTGTTTCTATCTCTGGCACATGGCCCCGTTTGGAGTCTCCAAACCCAGCAGATTCCTGCCACGCACTCCCGCGCCACTCTCCCTGAAGGTGAGTCTCCCCAGATCTGTCGCTTGTAGGGTCCTTGCTTGAAGAATAGTGGCCCAACTGTGCTGCGGATCATGACCTAAGGTAACCCCGAGCTGAGAGCGTACATCTCAGCTCTGTTTCTGTAGCGGCTTCCCTGCTCCAATACCTGCGAGCTCTGCCACACTCAGACACCCCCAATCCTTCTGTGACCCCGTGGGACCTGAGACCACACTGTCCCTGCGAGGGCTCCACCTCCTGCTTAGCCTCTGGAGTGATGTCCCTCAGTGGAGCAGACTTCTAAAAGTCTGGATTTTGTGCTCCGCTGCTCTACCGCTTGCTGGGAGCCAGCCCCACCCCCCGCAGTCTATCTTCCCTTTGCTTCGAATTCACTTCTCTGCTCATCATACCTTCAGGAAAGTGGTCAATTTTCTGTTGCTAGAATTGCTTCTCTTCTTCTCTTCTATCTCCTGTTGAGTTTGTAGGTGTTTGGAATGGTTTGATAACTATCTAGCTGAACTCCTGGAACCTAATGAGAGATATCTCAGTCTCCTACTTCTCCACCATAAAGATCTTAAAAAAAAAAAAGAAAGAAAGAAAGAAAGAAGAAAGAAAGAAAGAAAAAAAAGGAAAGATGGGTTTAGCAGGGGGCATTCCTTTGGTTCCCATGCCCCTGGTCATTTACAACACAGGCCAGCATTCTGGGGTGCAGTATTCCTGTCTGGAGGAGCTCTAGGTTCTGTCTTGCCATGTGTGCATGGAGGTCCTCTCCGCCCTTGGAACTCTTGTATGTCCTCTATGCCATAAGTGTATTGGCTTTTGCATTGTACCTGGCTTTGCATTTTTTTCAAAATGCTCAGCAAGGGGGATGGCTTTCTAGCCTAGCTTCTGTTCCTTTGTCAGGCTTACCTAGTTTGGACCCAAGCCTGCTAACGAATAAGGAAATCAGGACACTTTCCTGTGCCTGGGTGTCATAAAGCCAAGAGTGTTTCGCCAAAAGTGTTTCCAGTCTTGTCTTATAGTGTGAGACTGGCTCATCTTTCCTTTGTTTGCAAGACGGGATGGTAGACCAGTCAGTGTTTTGAGGAAGTCCTCTCAGATAGGTCTTGGGCTATTTTTCTAGTACATTTTGGCCCATCCCTGGCAGAGCAAGTAGTATGTGGGTCTTTAATATTGCTCTCAGTATCTTCCCATTTGGCTTCAGCCATCCATTTTTGGGTGATACTGGGTTCTAATGTCGTATTAATAAATTGGAAGAGATCTGGGAGCACCAGACATAAGTTCCAATTAAATTCTAAATTCCTGGGGCACCTGGCTAACTCAGCTGGTAGTCATATAGGGTCATGATCTTGGGGTCATGAGTTTGAATCCCATATTGAGGGTAGAGTTTACTTCCAAAATAAGTAGATAGGGGCACCTGGGTGGTTCAGTCAGTTAAGCATCTGCCTTTGGCTCAGGTCATGGTCTCAGGGTCCAGCCACATCGGGCTCCCTGCTCAGTGGGGAGTCTGCTTTTCCCTCTCCCTCTACACTTCCCCCTGGCTTGTGCTCTCTCTTGAACAAGCTTTCTGTCTATCTCAATCAAATAAATAAATAAAATCTTTAAAAAGATGTATAAAAAGTACTCTAGGTCATCTTCTGAGTGAAAAGGCAATTGAGTAAAGGGATTCATAGGTTCAGAATATTTAGAGAGGGGGTAAGGGAAGGGGCAATCAGACAAGTTAGTCAGTGTGCCTTATAGATTGACTATCAACTTGTTGCATAAGGTTTTCATTTGCCTTTTGTAAAGAATCTTTTAAAGAGGCAGTTTTTATTCACTTAGCTTTTTAAAAAAGATTTTATTTATTTATTTGAGAGAGAGAGGGTATGAGCATAGGGAGGGAAGAGATAGAGGGGGACGGACAAGCAAACTCCCTACTGAGCAGAGAGCCTGATGCGAGGCTCGATCCCAGGACCCGGAGATCATGATCTGAACTGAAGGCAGCCACTTAACCGACTGAGCCACCCAGGAGCCCTTATTCACCTAGTTTCTTAGAAGCTTCTTCTTATCAATAAAAAATGCATTCTGTTGTTTTGGAAAAATTTGGGATACTTTCTTTCTAGAGGAATTTTCAGATTATCTTTAGTAAGGTTAGCCCACTGGTTCAAAAAAACTCAGGTTCTGGAGCCATAATTTTTATACCTATAGGTAGCTGGGGTCCTAGATAGAGGAGGTCCCAGACTGTTTGGATTCAGAGGAATGTATTTTTTCTTTTTTTTTTTTTTTCCCTTGTTACCCGAGGCTTTGCCCTGGACCCAGTCCAACTTAAGTCAGACCCTGTCTGACCTTGGGCTCAGTCCAGTTTCTAAGTTGGACCTCGTCTGATCCTGGACTCAGTCCAGGTGTTTT